AGCTTCCAGGAGAAGAGGAGATAAACCAAAAACAACAACAAAACCCAACTTTCTAGTTTTTTAAGAAAATCATTATTTGGTACCCCAAACTCGTCACATGCTTCCCCCAAATTTCAATGTTTCATACCAACACGTCATCTGAGGGAGCCAAAACAGCCATGAGTGGTTTCTCCCATCTTCACCCAAGCAGTCTGACGCGTGACAGATTCCGAGACGCTTGCTGAACCTCTGTGTTTCACCTTGGACTGGGGAATTCCTCTTTAAAGATCACAGTTATCATCAGTTGATGGAGAACTAACTTTTCCAGAGCTTTTTACCCTCTGACTTCAGAGGAAACAACCCAAACCCAAGAGGAAACAAACAAAAAAATACAACAAAATATGTCTATAGGTCAAACAAAACATGGCAGTTAAACTCTGGGTGGGTGTGACCAAACTCCCCAGCAGGTGTGCCCTTGGACTTTTCAAAACCAGCTGCCCTTGCCTGTCATCCAAGCCCTTGACAGGGAAAATTGTGCTTGTATGTGGAAGTAACACCGTATCTAAGAGCACCAGGGAGAATCTCCTCCCCATGGCTTTCTGGGGTCAGGTTCGCATTGACTGTTTTGTACACGCAAGAAACAAAACAAACAAACAAAAAAACACCCATGGTGCTTTATAAACCTTAAACTGTAGGCAGTCCCATAGCTTGATATTAGAAGTCCACATAAGAAAAATAATGGCATGGCATTCCCACCCCAGAGTCGAATTCGGCAGCAGAGGAGAGGGTTCCCCTGAAGGCAGCAGCAACTGTGTTCTAGAAAACCTTGTTGAGAGCCACACCGTTGGCTTGATGCTGTTCTCTTCTATCTTCCCCTCCCGTGAGCCCTCCAAAGGTTGGAAATTGGGGTTGGAGTGTCACAGTGGGTTTGAAATTGTCCCTTTGGCTTGGAATGACTGAAGAGTGAAGGATGGGATAGCTCATTAAGAAAGGGGACGGTGATTCAGGAATCGGTATGATAGTATTTGCCCCTGCAGTTCCCAGTCAACTGGTTTGAAACAATCCCACGGGGGGTCCTCAAAGAGCCCTTGTCCTAGATTTTCAGTAACTATAAGTCTTCATGGCACACAATGGCCATGCCAAAAATTAGAACCTAGGACTGCAGAATGTTCTTGCTTTTCCCATGGCCAATGCTATCCCAAGTTTTCCAGAAGCAAGAACTTGCCAAATTTGAAAAGACCAGCATCAACTGACAGACTGCCCTTGTGGGAGCTTTCAATTTCAACTCCAAGAAATTTTATTGCAGGAGTACAGAAATCTGACGCAGATTAACTCCCTTGATCAGCTGGGTGATGTCCACATAAGCATGCAGCTTTGAGGGAGCTGTTATTTAGCATTGAAAATATTTGGATGTTGCATTGCACATGAAGACCTGTGTCTCCAGGGGGTTCTATATTGAGAGAGAGACCACCTGAGACAAAACTAATTAATTTCTATAAAGGAAAATTTCCTACAATTTACTGCTCCCTGCCTCTGCTGCACACAACAAAACAGATGTTATCCTGTGGAATCCAAGATGTTGACAAGAGTTCATCCAGTCCCATGGGAATGTCTTGAGAGCTCTCTTGGCCTGGTATATTAGCCCATTTAATTGATGATTATCTATGGCATACGCATGTTCTGATTCCAACCTCCGCGAGGAGGTATCACATGGCCACTTATACATTCACTGTTCCCTTTCCCCATGACGCCCTACTGGTTTAATAAGCCTGTGTCTCCCAGATGGGCAAGCCCAGCTCAGTTTATATTGTGCCTCTTATAGATGACTCAGATTTATGGGCTCATTGAAAACTACTCTCTTGATTCTATGCACAGTAATTCTTAGAACATTTAGCAGGAAATCCATCAAGAGGAAAAGGCGATGGAGCTACTGGGAGGATTTACTTTATGCTTTTAGCTCCAAAACAGGCATGTCATCACCAAGTTGACCATTCTCTTCAGCTGTCTTCACCACCAGGTATGGACTGTGCAGGCACCACTTCCTTCCAGAACCCAAGACTAGCATCTCCCCTCTGCTCCCAGTCATTCCATGTTCTGGATGCCGCTGCACACACAGCTTTCTTGTTCAGCTGCAGCCTGTGTGTTTAACCTGACATAACCGACATGAAGAAAAACGGAAGGAATGTTTGAGCGCTTCTGCACCTGGCTGACTGTTCTGGGAGACTGCTTCGTGTTTCAGACAGGGAGTAGGAGCCACTCCTCTGACAAAGTGCCACCATGGACCCTTCCACGGAAAGGGAGGCTAAGCAAAGAGGTAAGTCTCCTAACTAGGAGTTGCCTGCTCACAGGGGGGCCCGTGTGAACTCCAGGGATTGGCTACTGCGTGCTTATTAGATGAGACATTTCTAGAATGATTATAAGTCAGAAGAAACTCATTCTTTCTGCTTGTCTGATGGCTGGGTGATTTAAAAGGTGGGGCTTCCCCACCTAAACCTCTAATTTACCCGCTCCTTACACCCAAATGTAAGCTCTAAACCCAGAAATACGACACCGCACATGGCCACGCTCCACATTCTTTGGAAGGAAGGGCTGGCAGCACGTTTCATAATGCCAAACAATCATTTATGGCCCCCTGGAAACCCCACAAAGAATGCTCAGTGCAACTGACACACACACTTCCTGGCTCAGAGTGATTAAGGGAGAGGGAGTTTTAGCTTCATAGCAGGCAGCGTATCACCGTAAAACATAAGTGGGGAAGAATAATCAAAGATCCTCCGATGATGAGTTTGGCTCATTTATGTGGGCTGTGCTTTTTACACTGGAAAACAAACAAACAATCAAAAAACGGTATGGCAGAGCAAATTGACAAACTGCACCAAAGTAACCACCCCAAAATTATATGAATCATGGCGTGTTGTGGAATAACTGCTTACTTAAAGGCAGATGTTGAAGAAGAATGCTGCTAAGTGCATTCAGAGTTGGGGGGCTTCTGGAAGGCAGCTGCCTTCTGCCACCAGAAGGGACAGCACCGCTGTGCCCCAGTGCCCTGCAGGTTGATTCTAGGTCTTTGAGTTCCTTGGCCTCCTTGTGACCTGGCTGGCCTGACAGCCACTTAGCAGGTAGAGATTAACACGAGGAGGGTCCAGTGTTCGGGGGCTGGGGATGGTGCATCATCAGGGGGGTGTCCCTCTTGCTGGCCTTTCTGCTTCCCTTCAGGGCCATCCTTGCTGAAGCCACTGAGGAATTTGATGGAGAACCAGGTAGAGCAGTTTGCAATAACCGGGATGTCTTATCTTTGGCGTTGCACTTAAGTTTTACCTAAGAGATAAGAATAAGGCTCTGTCCAACCCCAGACTGACCCTCCCTCAAGTGATGCTTTCCTGGTAGGCAATGGAGGCAGGAGAAAGAAACACAAACAGCATCCACTTCTCTCTCTCTCTCTCTCTGTCTCTCTCTTCCTCCCCGCCCTTGCTTTCCTCTCTCCCATCACACTGCTCTCTCTGTTGCCTTTCGCCACTGATTACTCTCTCTCATTGAAAATTATTTGGTTTACTTCCACATTAACGATCTCCTCCTTCCATCATAGAATGCAAGCCCCACCAGGACAGGACTCTGGCCTTCCTGCTTCCAGCCCTATTACCAACATGGGAGAAATTCAACATGTATTTGTTGAATACGGAGACAAATGAATGATCTGCTAATTGTAGTGAGCCAGGAAGGGGCGTTTTTCCCCCAGTTGCACTTGTGAGCAGTGCCTTAAAGACACCCACGCTGAAACAAGAAGGGCTCGAGAAATCAGGAGTCTTGGTGTCTCCTCCCACCATGATTTGCGGGATGACTGTGGAGAAACAGACAAGAAAGCCCAGCGGGGCATCGAGATTCAGGGACTCCACCAACTCCCTGATGAAAGGGGGTGACGATGTCAACATATGGACAAAGGAAGGTGTGTACCAGCACTATTTTGAAACCAAAGTGTGGAATGATTCGGCCTGACTTAGGCAAGTCTGTGGACCCAGCCGCACTCCTGATTCCTTCTCTCATCTTCCAAGAGACTGGGGTCAGCTACATACGGTCCTGGACCATCTGGGCAAAGAAGCCAAAGAGGGAGACTGCCTCTCCATGGGAGAGTCCAGAGACTATCCAGGGTGAAAGGGCTGACCTTCTGCTGACCCTCTGCTAGGCTCATCCTGTGATGTGACCTCCAGATTAGAACCACCCCCCAAATCCCTGAAGACCAAGCCCTTGACTCTTCCTGATGTGAAAGTACGACTGTTAGAGAGTACACTATTTTTGAGAGGAAAGAGTGATCTAAGATCGCAAGAGCACAGTAGTAACAGCTGATCTCCTGGTGGTCCAATTCACAGAGCTAGTGGGTTTTATGGATGAGTTCAGGCTCCCAGATTTCAAATGCTCTATGAAGGACTTATGTAAATACCTGGGAGTTGAATGCAGCATGAGAAGTCCACTGAAACTCAAGATGAGGAAGGCTCAGAAGTACTTGAGAGGAAACAAGGCACCCTAAGTGGCCTCTCCTTTCCACGTGCAAGGACAGCACTCCCTAGGAACACTGACAGCCTCCCCAGCACACCCTGGCGAGGCATGACACTTCCACCAGCACGAGAAGGCGAGAGCTGAGAAGGGAGACGCGGCGGCCACACCTGGCTTTGACGTGGACATTGTTGGAATCTGAGCCCCATGGAAAAGGATCAGGAGGCTGCCCTGGGCCTGCCTGGGGAACCTTGCCCTTCATACCTGCGACTTGGAAACAAAAGCGATTGGATTGCACCTATATGTCAACCAGACGCAAGAGCCAGCAAAAGCACAAAGATTAGAAGGGCCTGAGCCTAGCAATGGACTCGACTGTAGACTGTCCCACAAGAAGGAGCAGACAGTGCCCCAAAGCCAAGTTCAGTTGTTCCTAAAGTCCTATGAGTAGGTGATGGCCAGGTGCTAGTGACCAGGGGCTCATGACTGTGGGATTTCAGAGATTTGTTGAAGGGCTACGATGGAAGAAGACAAAATGAGACCTCAATAAACCATGTCAGCCTTCCTTTGAGCTCTCTTCTTGAAGAATAAAAGCTCGAATAAAATGTAAGGACCAGGCATTGGTGGGGAAGGGGGCGTCTTCTAACAGACTCTGAATTCTGCTTAGAGCGTGGCTCCCAAGGACTGCAGAAGGACTGGCCGGGCCAACTCAGCAGACACTGACACACAAGATGTTTGGGCATGGACACATATAGCCTGGATCAGCAAAATCCCAGGCTCTGGTTCCATGGACTTTACTGTGGGTGGGGCCGAACCATGTAGGCTTGTTTACTTGCAAGTGCTATCTCCTCTTACCTAGATGATGTTTCCAGTTGCCAGTCTGGGAAATAGGTAGCCATTTAAAAACTAAAATAACATGTCTTTACTAATCTCCCTCAATCACCAGAAAATAGCAGCCTCCGCCTAAGTGGATTTATTTTGACAGACATCAGTACAGATAGACTTCTGGGTATGGAATGTGCACACGTTTACTTGTCGGATGGTTTTACCTGTGTGGGTCTCACAGCCCTGCCTGGAGCATGTGGCTGTGATGGGGGGAGAGCTTTGGGGAGGGCTTTGTTATTTTAAGTTTGTCGCATCCAGGGTGCAGCCCAGGGTTGAGGAAGGAGGCTGAGTTGGGGTCGGAGATGGCAGGGCAGATACCAGGGGTCTGTCTGGAAGTCCGGCTCCGCAAGGTCAGTGAACGAATGGGGCTCCCCAGCCACCTCCTTCCCAATGGTGCTCACTCTGGAGCTGAGAATGCCAAAGACCAGAACCGCAGCCTCCACTGCCTAACGAATACGAACAGCCCTCACCCTGCAATTACACCAAACTGTGCTTACCCACTTGGAGTCAGGGAGGCCCACCTCCAGCAAGGGAATGATTTGAGGATAATGAGATAGACGAGGCCGGATGATGGACAGACAGGTGTGCGCTGGAGCGCCATGCAGGTGAGTTCCAGGAGCTCGGAGGTGATCAAACGCCAGGGGTGGATGTTTGTGTTGTCTTGCTACGTGCGTGCCAAAGCTTTGGGGGAAAATGACAGAACTAAAAGAGTGACTTTCCTAGTGATTCACCTGCAGCACCATGGATACAAACTTTAGCTCTGCTGTGTCACAAGACACCCTTTTCCCCTCCACCCGTCTGGCTCTACGTTCACACGTCTCAGGAGGTACAAAAGTGACTTTCTCAAGCACGCTTCAAGGTGTTTCAGGGGAAGACTGAGCCCGAGGGAAGAATCAGGTCATTAGCACGGCCAGTAAGTGGGGCAGGGACAGCTGTCTGTCTGAACTCTGACCTTTAACCTTGTCTGCAACATTTCACTCAATTTACTCAAGCAACCCACCCCTGAAATCAGAGCTGCGCACAGGCCATGCACAGGAACCATATTCTTTGGAGACAGGCCACCCACACATGACCTGGACGTCCCCACAGGGAGGAAATGTCCTCTTATGGGGAACAGTGTGGGGTCCTGGGAGCACCCCTTGTTGCCCAAGTCTGGGGCCCCAGGGAGCTGTGTCAGATGGGGCTTGTGAGGGGGCCCTCCGCCACCAAGATGGTGTGTGGAGGGCCTTTTGGTCATGAGGCTCTGGTCTGGGGCCCCTGTTTTCACTGGGAAGTTCTGTGGTAAAATTTTTGATGACAAAACGCAAACATCAGCCAAGGACAGTTGACAAGACAGCGGCATCTTCCCTGAAGTTTCCACCAAGATTCCAAGGCACCCTTGGGCCCAAGACAAAGCAGGCAACCTCTGTCCACTGGAGTGTGGGATAGAAATGCAGTCCACGCTAGCCAGGGACCACCCACAGGGGCGGCCTGCATTGCCAGCACATAGAATGATCATTCTTCATGTTTAGCCACACCAGAGCCCTCATGCATTTCCGAGTTCTGCCCTGATATTACACACACACTTTGTAAGGACATACTCCTTTAATTTTTGGAACTGGAAAATTTCTTTAATTCGGTCTATGCTTGTATGACACAAATATCTGCAAATCTACCACCCACCAAACCTGGTGCGCAGGCCCACTGTAAATAGCCTGCTACGTAAATGTGTGCATGGCTGTAGGTAGCATCTCCAAACAGTTAAATGAAAAAAATCGTATTTATGCATATGTATATGTATATATATATACACAAACATATATATATATATATATATATACACACACACACACACACACATACATATAAAAACCATGGCGCTCTCAGTTCTCTGGCCCAAGGTAACAAATCACACTTGTGAAGTCACTCACCAGACATCTAGCAAACGCAGGCGGTGTCACTCAAGAGCCTTGTCCTCCAGGTGGAGGCTGGGTCCCCGAGGATAAACGGTGATGGGATACCAGGTCACCGGAAAGAGTATGCTCACCTGTGAAACTGCATTTCCAATATATGCGTATATATGCGTGTGTGTGCGCAGTGTGTGTGTGAGGGGAGTGGCCAAAGTAGAAAACACCAGTTTATTTTGTTCATACTAAGCATGTTAAATAAATCAGATTCTGTAACCTATAACACAATTCATTTTTTTTTAAAAAGGAACATTTAAGATCTTCAAAAGTTGCTACAGTACAAAAAAGGTGTGTGTGTGTGTGTGTGTGTGTGTGTGTGTGTGTGTGTGTGTGTGTGTGTGTATTTATATATTTATATATGTATATTGACCAGAAATAGTGACTCTTTCGGAAGAGACTCCCACCCCTGTTTTCTGTAAGATTTCTCCGTGTGATTCGCTGGGCATCGGCGGCTCTGAGGCCGAGCCTCTCGGTCAGTCATGGCACATAATGGTATTATTGGCACAGGTTCAGAATCGTAGAACAGATCCTAGTTTTCGGACGCGTCCTCCTGTCCTTTCTCTTGGTGTCCTTTTCTCTCTGCCTCCAGTTTCTTCTTTCTGTTCTCCAAAGAAAACTCCGGGAGAAGGCGGTCACCCACAGGCATGAGCATTTTTACAAAAATAGATTTGGCCTGGAGCCTTCTGCTCTGGGAGTTTCCCACCGGCAGACAGAAGTGGTAGATTTGGGGACCTTCCCCCTTAGATAGCGTAGTTTTAGGTTTTGTCTTTTTTTGTTTTGTTTTGTTTGTTTTGTTTTTACAGGTTCACCAACGGAATCCTGTGTGGAAAGAAAACAAGAAGAGATTAAATGGCGGTAGGCCACGGCCCGATTCACTGTCTGTGGAGGCTCACAGTCTGGCAGAGCCTCCATACTCAGAGCCCGGTCGTTCTCCCTGTCTGCTTGAGCCACTGAGGTGTCCTCAGAATTCGAAGGGGCCTCCTTAGAGCTGGTCAGCAGGCACTGGACCAGACCCAGGAATCCCAGGAGAACGAACTGGTTGCCTGAGACCTGTGTGAACTAACTCATCTACAGAGGGCTGGGTTTCCTAAGAGGAGACCAGGACCACTGCCTCCACTCACTCATGGGAGGCACTATGGCCCACGCACGCATGTCAGGTGGACTGAATGTGTCCACCCAACGCTCATTCCCTATCCAGCCTCCTCCCTGTGGGAGGTTCCCTGGGACCCACTCCACTCCAGCACTGCAGGGAAAAAGGGAGTCTGTGTTTATCCACTGCTCAGTCGGAGGCTCCCTGAAGCCAGGGCTTGAGTGAGATTAACGGGCTGCATCACAAAAACAACCTCCAGGGTCTCCCCGGAAGTGATCTTGCTGGAGAGAGAAGGTCAGGCCCACCTGTGTGCAGGCCAGGTCAGTCGGCTGCGATGGCCGCCTTCCAGGTCGAGAAGGAGAGGCTCTGACACAGCTGGTCAGCATGGGGACAAACACCACCCACTCTACTCACAGGAGGTACCAGAGAGTGAATATAGGAGTGGCCAGAAGCTGGGAGGGGGTGAGTGTTTGATGGGGGCAGAGTTTTAATACGGGGTGATGAAAAGAGGTGGCAAGGTGGATGGAAGTAACATGGATGCACTCAATGCCAATGAACTGTACATGCAAAAAGGGTTAAGATGGGGCATTTGATAGCATGTGTATTTCAACACAATTAAATATTTTTTAAAAAAGAGATAAAAACTGAGATCACAAAAGACTGGGCTTGGTGACCCCATGCCTGATCCTGGTGGTCTGGGACACCTGCTGTCTCTGTTCTCTCTGATTACTGATTGTCAAGAAAGTCCCACCTTTCTCTCCTGGAGGGTCCAGGTTCGGGCCATAAGTGACAGGGCCATTCGCCTCATTATAAAGGTTTCCTGTGCGAAAGGAGCCCAGAGCTGCTTTCCAATCCTTGACCCTAACCTTAAACAAGCAAATCAGGGCCAGAGAACAGTTCCCGCCCCTTCCGTCCAGCAGCCATGCTCCCAGCGCTCTCCTGCATGGGAGTCTTCCACGCTTCCTACGCTGGCTCTTTGGATGCTTCAGATGGGGTCCCTGCCACCTTTCCTCCCACTCCTTCCTCTTCCTCTCCTTGTTCCAGGTTCCTTGACCTCAAGTTGCGATTCTCAAGCCTCAAATCATTCAGGTTTCAGCTAGAAAGGTGACCTCCCAGGGAGGGCCTACTCGGGCAACCTTGTCTCTTCCTAAATGTGATCTCTGTCCTTAGAGCATCTGTCCTAGTACTTCTCGGGCACAGGCAGTCTGTACAGATTTTTATCTGGGCAGTGTGTGATGCGTCACCTGCTGGCAAGACAGCACCCTGAGCTCGGAGGTCTCCTGCCAAGCTCACCATGGGTTCACTCAGCTTCCAGCTCTATGCCTGGCCTGTAGTGGGAAACTGATACTGGATAAAGCTCAGAGAAGCATCAGGGGCGTGACGCAGGCTGTCCTCAGTCCCTGAGACCAATCCTCTGCAGCCCGAAGCCATCTCCAGGGGACACTTGCAAGTAGACTGGACACTGAGGGGAAAGGCACATCTTGGAGGATCAACCGAGGGGCTGCAGCCCGTGCCCCTGAGCACCAGGCGTCTCCAGCCACATGGGGAGGGGAGTCTCTTCTGAGTCTATCGGCATCCCTCTCAACCCAGTGTCTCAGGATGGAAAAGAGACAGAGAGATGGCTCCAATCCAGTACCCTGGGCGGCCACTTTCAGAGCAGTGCTGGTTCCCTGAAGAATGTGGCAGGGTTCCCTGCAAAGGCAGGCAGTGTCACGACCCCAGAACCTGGAGGAGGGTCCAGAGGCTGTCCACTATCCATTCCAGGCATGCCCCATGTTCTCACCAAAACTCTGCTGCTCAAACTTCAGCTCATGTGGAGAGTGCTTGGGTTTTCTGTCCTAAAGCCTCAGCACATGAGTTTCTCTGCTTGGCACTAATCCAGAGAGGGGCCGAGGAGCCCAGGCCATTTGGGAAAGACGCATGAGGTGGGTCCTGGGATCCCAGCTGGAAAACACCACGGCTGAAGGCAGGCATCCACTCGAGGGGCCCTGGCCACAAAGAGCAGCTGTGTGTATCTTGCAAAATGATCTTCCAGATGGACATCTGGGATAATTCCTGCCCTCTGCTCCCTGGAAGAGATCCTTGGGCTGGCCTGGGCCCACCAGGCTGCAGGCATCACAGCAGGTCACTGGGTTTAAAGAGCAGTGTTTGCTTTGGCAAAACAGTGAGGACAAGCAGAGGCCATCCTGTCCTCCCTGGATACAGTAGCCACTAGTTAATTTCTCCATGACCCAAAATGACTACTTTCTCCCCCTAAGTTTTCCTTGTCTTGTTCTCAGCTTACAGAGGTATGGCTTCCAGAGGGTCCAGATGCTGCTTTGAAAAATATGTTGTCTTGAATAAAAAACTTTGATATCCTCTTAGTGTCTTTTTTTGAAGAACAAACTGGGAAGCCGCAGGTGCATTTCTTGTTTTTTTCATTAGTTATGTCTTTGATGTGTTTTTGAAAATAATGATAATGCGTGATTTATTTCTCACTTGCTTGGGATTCAAGGGCTTTTATGACTTTCCAGGCTCCATTCAGGAGGAAGCGGCCTTTGCAAATGGCAAGAGCTGAACATTAATGGGGTTTCCTGAAGTTCACCTGTTCTGTGAAAAATGGCGGGGAATTAGCCCAAGAGCCGATGCAGGCGAACCTTTGCGAGAACAGGGGAAGGCTGGCTTCATTCTGCCTCTGTCCAGAGCACTCCGGCTCCACCATGGAGGGGGTCTGAGGCAAGAAGGTGCTGGAATCTGCAGTGAAGGCTGAGTCTAGGGGACAGGGTGCACCCCAGAAGCCACTGGCATTGTGGACAACCCACCTTCGGGAAAGCAGACGTGGTCGCAGTTTGGGGCCCAAATGTGCACGTGGTTAGAGTGAGGAAACAACACTGTGACAACTGAGTGCCACCCCTTCATTAAAAATGCATTCAGAAAGGCCCACAGCTAGGCAGGAGATAAATATCTCCGCTGGCTCTTAAACCCTAATTAAATGTTTTAGTATTAATTGCTATTTATTTAAGGGACAATAAGTCCCCTAGTAAATCAGAGAGATCTTTCTGGCTATTCTCTGCTTGATGCTCATGTCCAGGCATTAATTGCAGGAATCTGGGGATGCTTAGAATCCAAATGCTTTCATCCCAGTGAGCGATAGACTGTCTGTCGGGCACGTGGCGACAGAATCTTTAAGCATTCATCAAGGACTAACGAGGCTGGAGCCTGATCGGCATCTACTGAGAAGGAGACCACCGGGGGCGCCTGAGATGAGGCGTGGCTCTATGTCAGCTGACTCGGCGCCTGAGTGTGACTTGTTCTTGGTACATCCTGTTGGCCCTTCTCGATCCTCCAGTACCTACCTCAGAGCCACAGGGGGTGGGTCAGCTCTTTAGGTCAGAGACTTTTCCTCGTGTAAAGAGAGGTGGTCCTGAAACAGCTCCTCAGGCAGAGTTGGGAAGTGGGGGCCACCCGGAGCCCGCAAGGGGGTGCCCATATCCCACTCCCTCGCCTGGGAGTGGCATACAGGGTTGGCCCACCATCAGTGTCTGTGAGAGGCCTTCAGGGCCCATATTGCTGGAAGGGTAGGAGCAGGCTGATCAGAAAAAATGTTTTCTGGAGCCAAGGAGTAAGTAAAAGCGCTTTTCTCCCCAATTTATCTTAGTTTTTTTTTTTAAGTTGGTGCTGTGGGTCTCCCTGATGCAAACCAGGAGTCTCTGAGATCAGGTCTTTGGAGGGTCAAGCAGGCCACAGGCCCAGAGCCAGGTAGCCTGAGGGACATCCCGCCCCAACACTTACACCATGGCTGATGTCAGCCAAGTCATTTAGTCTCCCTGTGCCTTGGTTTCCCCACTTGTAAATGAGATTGCTGGGGGTACTGAACAAGCAGAGTGTGTAGTGAGCTACCACATGCACCGCCACATTAGGACACTGTCCCCTGTGGTGTGACCCTCCAGGGGCTTCTGGAGGAAGGGGGTGGGGGTCTTGGACATGCATGCTGGCATCTCCCTGATCAGTGAGGCACTCTCTCATGCTTTCTTAAAATGGGAACAGAGATGTTGGCGACCACCTGGCCACAGCTCCCGCAAAGGCTCCACCAGACGCGCCGGGGCACCACTGCTAATAAGCAGCTCTCTGTTGCTAGCCTGGCTGGAACGTCAGAGGGGGCTGGTTCTGGGCCTTAATGAGGTGAATCACTTTGGGCAGACAAAGGGACTGGCTTCTGACGGATGCGCTAGCCCGGCGTATCCGCCTGCTGAGCGTCCGGGGACAGCCTGCGCCCTACCTGCCTGGCTAGCACAGCCACTGCAAGCCTTCTGCCGGGCGGCTGGCTTTCCGTTTTGATCTAATTACATTTCTTTGCCAGTTGGCAAAACACGTTGGCTTTGGGATAGGGAGTGAGGCCTGGAGATTCGATTTGGAGCAAACATGCGATTCATTAGCGCCAGGATTAGCAACTGACCGATTCGTTCCCCCTCTGACTGCAGCTGGCTCTGCGGCCCCAGCTAAGTGCGGCAAACGGAGTGGTCCAGACGTCCCCGGCCAGACCCCGGGCCCCACTCTGATGACCACATGGTCCATTCGGTGCCCCATGGACCATGAAGGGGTGCAAAGAGTCAGAGGAAACATGCTCAAATATTGGCATCCTATCCAGGAGCTAGGGCTGCCCATTCACGGACAGGATCTGACGTCATGCGTAGATGGAATGTGTGTGAATGTGCAGAATGAGCTGACTTAGAAAGTTGAGCATCCAAGCAAAAACAAAACTGGGGCCGCCTCTGCAGACCGGGCTTCTGGGATGTACAGAGTGCGCAGAGGTGGGCGGAGTGCTTTTCCCCTCAGCAGCCCGAGTGCGCAGAAGATTCAGCGCTGAAGAAAGCAATTTACCGTTAGCATGAAAGTTAATATCATTGAAAGCAAACCAAATGTTCCTATCCAGCAGAGCGTGGAAAATTCATCCTGTTTTGGTACCGGTTCCCAGCTTCAAATTAGTAGATGTCTCAACTCTTCACTTTCTCTCTTTATCATTTTCTTTCTTATCTCTTATTTTTACATTTCAAAATTGTATTTTAATTCAGCCTTGTGCCCTCCCCCCGGTGTAAAAACATGTGATGGAGGTGTGATTCCTGCCTGCCTAGCTGCTGCCCTAATCTCCTCCTGTTGAAGGAGATGAGAACGCTAATTGTCGCTTGTTTAGAGACGTGACTTTTCCCACCATATAAGCCCCGCTCGTGGTGGCCTTTCTGAGGGATGGAATGGCGCAGACAATCGCAGTCACGCTGCTGAACCAGGGTATGTGAGCGTCCACAACTCTTCTCTGTAAGGACGTTGGGGTGTGTCTAACGAAAGGGACACGGAGACCAACAGCCCCACCCTCCGGGTAATGCCCCTGGAAATCCACCCACCATGTGGAGAAGGGCTTTCAGTTACCCCAGAGTGGAGGGGAGGTGGAAAGAGAGGAAAGGGAAAGAAAGAAGGAATGTCCAGAGAGAGGTACGTACCATGAAGTAGATACATGGCGTCTGCCCTGCCCCCAGGAAGTAAAAAAGACTTCGGCCAGTCAGCAGGAGATTTCAAACCATTTCTCAGACACAAAGGCCACAGGAATAAGATGCCGATCAGAAGAGGAGGGTCTGCAGCAAGTGGAAAAACAGGCTTTTGGGTGCCAGTTCCTCACATACAACAGGCAAGACGGGTCAGGCCTGGGGCGGAACTGGCATTCTGGGAAAGGAAGTGCTCAGCTGGGACCCAGCCTTCAGCAGGAAGAGACACCACCTCTCTACTCACTAATGCGCCCTTCCATGCTGGAGGCTTTGGGGGACACAGACCCGAGGGGTCCAGGCATATGAATGCTTCGATGTGCAGGCCGTAAGGTCACATCCTCTCCAGATTTTAGTTTTTGAATCTGTGGGATAAACCCGGAGCCCAGGGTCTCCAACTCTGAGGGCACAGATCTGACATGCTTTATTGCATATGACAGAAAGGACAGGGACAGGCTCCCAAAATGTCTTCCCTACATCTTATCCCCTTTGTGAATAAGCTAGTATTTCCCAAGGCCAGTGAAACCCAACAGAGCATGTCTTTAGGCCCATCCAGGGAGTTCCAGAGCCAAGAGCGCCAGCTGTGCCAACCCTGCACTTGGATGGGCCCCTCCACACGATTCAGGCACAGAGGGTAGAACGAAACCAAACAAAACCCTCCACAGCCCAACCCTGACCCGCCCACAAGGCAGAGGCACTGGTCAGCCAGGATTCACATCCAAACCAACACACACACGTCCAATGAAATGCTTTCGCCAATACTTTGTGAACTTGGCCTTCTAGAAGGCTGGGATGGCACCCATGAGCTCCCCAATGTCTGAGTGTGAAATCAGAAAGGTTTAGAACAATTCTGAGGCTTCTGTGCTCTGCCATCTTCCCCTGGAAGGGAAGAGAGGGTCTAAGACAGAGAATACCGCAGAGTCTGACATGGGAAGACAAGAGCTTCGGCAAGAAGGTACTGCAGGACCACCTGCTCACTCTTGGCAACAGGACGAAGACATGCTAACTATGGATGCTGCAGCTAGCCTGACGGTTCTCGCTGGCCAGGGCCCTGCCTTCCCCACCCCTGAACAAACCAGCAAACCAAACAGAGGGGCGCATGCAGCTGGCCCTTTCTAAAGGTGACCTGAGTCCATTTGCCTCCACTGTGTTCCAGGGGGAACCCTTGTGGGACACCACGTGCCATGCCCCCCAGTTCAGATCCTACTGCTCATGACAGGCCCTTCAGGGTAGCCTACCCATCTCTTCCTAAGATTTTCAAGTTATTAGCGGTTGTTAAAAATTTACAAACTGATGCATGAAGGTATGCACACTTTTAAAAAACGGCTTATTGATATTTTAGTTTAATTCTGGACAAACCTTCAGAAACTGACTCAAATGTTTCTCAGATATTCCCAGGGAGGGCCGTAAGAGTATGTCTTCTTTGCGGGATCACACATGAATAATAAAAAGAAGAGCATTTAGTAAGAAATTCCTGGCCCAGGAGTCTGGTTGGCATTTGGTATTTTGGTTAAATTTGTGGCTGACATTTTACTGACAGGGGCTCAGGAATGCTGACTCTGGGAGGCACCAGTTGTGATCGGCTGATATTTAGGAGGCTGGTGACTACAAAGCCGGCCTTTGAACTCTGGGGGATGAAGGGTGGGCTTCTGGGATCCAGGGTATGGAAGCAAGAGCCAGAAGGGTGCGCTTCCCTCCACTGCCCAAGTTTGGGGTTCCGGAGAGGCATTCAGCTGTTGTGTTCTCTCAAAGTGGCAAAACCCCTGTGTCATAGTCTACCTCACCCTGCTTCTCTCGTTTTGCCCAATTAGCTGCCTGGGTATGGGTGCAAGGTGTGGCCAAGGCCCTTGAAGTGACCTCAGGGCGACCTGAACAGACCAACAGGCCCACCGAGCTTGAGATTGGCCACACCTGGCTTTGGAGTCCGAGCCACCAACTACTTCCTGGCCTCAGAGCCCTGCTGGCTTGAGCTTACCGGTTGCCATTGAACGTGGACTTGTACTCCCCTGCTGGGTGCAGCGTCTCGTCAGTGTACACAGGCACGGATGCCCTGACGCACTCGTGCGAACACTGCAGGGTCTCGTTATAGGCCGTGAATATGTCCAGGCTGCTAGGCACCCGGGCCGAGGGGAAGTCCGTCAGGTTCTGGCAGCTCTCCTCCTGCTGGTTGGTCTTCCGCTGGTGGCTGTTCCGACGCGTGTTCCCGCTTTGGGCACAGCTAGAAGGGAAAGAGGTTGGAGTCGGGGTGGGCAGAGGCTGGAACCCACAACACGGCTCCAGAGCTTAGAGGGTGGAATTTTCCCTTCCAGGCCTGAGTTGCACATCATTTAATATTAAACGGTAATTTCCAGCCTCTTCAGAAAGATCAACCACAATCAAGCAATCAATTCCCTTTTTTTTTTTTTTACAAATAAAATTTGAATTGTAAATATGACTTTTACAGCAAGGAGGATGACGATGGGGCTATGTGATCCGACAGAGGGGGCCTTGTTTGGCTAAAGAGTGTCAGCCAGACAATGGTGCTGACTCGGTTTCCCCACAAATGTCTCGACGGGATAAAAGCTGCGATGGGTCCTGGCGGCTGAGGGGCCAAGAATGTGCAGAAACTTTTGGTTACAGGCTGGGATGGTCCATCCCTTCATCTCAGGATGGGCTGCGGGCCTGTCTCTGGGGAGAGTGGGTGCCCTGTCCCCAGCCCACCCCAGGTGCACTGTCATGAGCTGGAAATGAATTACCCGCCATCCCAGGGTCCTGCTGCAGACCCCTCCTGTGTGCCCCATGGACACCTGCCTTACGTTCTAGTGCCTCTGGACAAGAGGCCACTTGGGATGGCCATGGGACCCTCACCCTTGTCAGTCCAGGGATTTGACAAAGGAGGCGATCAGGGACCCCCTAGATGCCACTGTTATGACAAGTGCACAAGAGGGACTGGTGGAGTGGCCGGGAGGCAACTCCCCTGCCGCGTGCCATCTCCCTCAATCAGGTTACAGCTCCTGATGCCCACCCCTCCCCCTCAGGCTCAGCGCCCACGTAGAGGGAGGGGTCGTAAGTCTTGGTTTTTCCCCTGCCTTAGTCTTCCCAATGAGAAGAATCCCGATTCCCAGAGTGGAGGCCCCAGTCTACAATCCAAGGTGAGAAGATAAATGCAAAACCGAGGGAGGGGGCTTTCTGCAGAGGAGAGCCTAGTTCCTGAACCCACATGTCCATCCTCGGTATGTTCTCCCCAAAAGGTTCTTTGATAGTTGGCTGCAATCTCAATAGTGTGGGAGACTGGGAGGCAGACTGGCCACAGCATGGGCTGCACAACCGCTGTCTCCTCGGAGAAAATGCAACTCTTCAGTAAGATGGTCAACATAATCTGACCCGCCACTTGTCGGCAGAGGGTAGGGTTCCAAAGCCTCTTTTTGGGCCAGCGCCTGCCTGAGAGGCCCTGCTGTGAGCTGTGTGTTGTCCTCATCACCTGTCCCCAGAAAACGCCTGAGGTCCCAGTTGGCGGGCTGTCAGGAGGCTGTTCCGAGGCCTTGCCAGTGGGGCGAGAGGTCTGTTCTGGGGTTACATCACCCCCACCCTCCCTCAGACCGTGGCAGGGTCCCACCTCCTCTGATCCCTGGGTCTGGCTTTCTCTCCCATGTTCGTGGGTTCCTCTGTCATCCAGAGGATCTGCTACCGTTTTCACATCAACCCCCACCCTGGATTTCCTACACTGTCTGCAGGCAGCAAGGGGCCCTGTCTGTTTCATCAGGAGGGAGTTTAAGCCTTGATGTTTAAGAGAGACAAGTCTCTGTAGGAGTGGCTGCAGGCAGCGAGGCCTCCGAGACGCTTACGAGTAGCAGGGTCACCCAGCAGTCCCCAGTTTTCTCAGGGGCGTAGCAGGTGTGTACACCCAGCAAGACCAGCCTCAAAAGTAGGCCAGTTTCCAGGAGGAAATAGGCAAAGGCAGGCTGCCTGGAGCAAAGCAGTAACCTAGTTCAGCGCAGAGCGGCTTCCAGAGGAAGGAAGGATGCAGACATGGGTTGGGCCAGCCATGGGCCGTGGAGACCTGAGGAACGGGCATAGGGTCCCGTGGGGCTGCTGGACCTTTCCAGAAAGCTCCAGAGGAAATAAGAAATAGTGACTGCACCCTGGGTGGGCAACACTCAAAGCGACACTTGGGCCCAAAGAAGGAATTCGGGAACGGGGACAACAGGTGTCCTGAGCAGCTGTGTTGGGAGGGCTGGGCTCGCTGGCATCCTGCAGGGAAGACTGCGGGAAGGGCTGCGCCCAAGGGTGGCATCCTGTCAAGAGCTCTGGCTGTCAAACTGCCCAGGGTGGAAGCCAGCAGAGCAGGCTGCGTTTGCCAAGTGGGTACCTTTCTGTGCACCTCCCCGGGGACCCCCGCAGCCCCCCATTTCCAGGCCAGAAAGGCCCGAGGAGCCTTACCAATTTTTTAAGACAAGAGTTGTGATGAGAGCAGCTATGACCATGATGAGGGAGACGGTGATGGTGATGATCTGATGGACAGCCAGACCTGGAGAGAGGGAGAGAGGGAAGAGGGCACGCGTGAAAGCAGGCTCAGGACGCCAGGGGTGCCGGGAGAGGCGGGGCACTGTCCCCCAACCTGGGTAAGGGTGCCAGGGTCCGTCCACGCAGCCTGCGCACACCCCTCAAGGGGCAACACCACCGGGGCTCCTGTCTCCTTCCCTGTAGTGCTGTGGGCACCGAAGCTGTTCCCTTCGGGGTCTGGGAAGGAGGCTCTGGGTCTGACCTCTCTCCTTCCCTCCACCCTCTCAGAGCCAAGCTGTGACCTGGCCCCTGGGTGGCTGCATCCTTTCTCACACCTGCCGAGCCTGTCACCTGCTGCTTTACCTGGCGACAGGTAAGCCCTTACTGAGACAGGCCCCTGCTTCTTCCCTTGCACCCTGGTTGATTTCTTCTCCTTGCCTGGAGCAGGAAGCACACAGGGCTGCTGACTGAGAGGCAGCAGGGTTTGGCTTGACTTGGGGGAGCCAGGATGGCCAGGACTTGTTGGGGGAGGGGAAAGAGGTGTGCATGGGGGGAAAACCCTTGCAGACCTGGGGCCTCGGATCATCGGGAGACAGCTTCCTCTTCCTAGAGTCCTCTCTGAGAAGTGCATAGCTTGATGGGAAAAAAAGGGTCCAGGCCCAGCGATGGATACTTCCCAAAGTCCCAAAGGAGAGCCCACGGTCTGGTCCTGTGGCCCTGCTCCACCCCCTGAATGGGAGCTGGGGACACTGAATCGGCAGGATAGGGACAGGAGGACTAACTGCTTCAGAAGGGGGGCAGCCAGAGCTCCCACCAAGAGAGCCCGCTAGTCTCTCCACACGCAGCAGCAGAAGAGGTAGGAATTCTCTCCTACCTCCCTCAGGTCCCAACTCTCTGTAACATCTGCCACCAACCACAGACACAGGGCTGAGCAGGAAGAAGGTGGGTGCACAACTGCTCCCGCCACTGGCCCCGCCCCAGGCCACATTCCCTCTAGACCACACATCTGCCACCTCGTTCCTGGGACACGGACGCCAGGGACATCCCCTGGCTGACTCCACTGACCAGTCGGGGCCCCCTGAGAGTCCCCAGCTCGGACTCTGTCCCACCGGCAGCCAAACCTGTGCCTGAGGAGCAGAGGATGTTGGCAATGAGGGGAGCTTGCAGGGCCTGCAGGCGGCAGAGCTTGCCCTACCAGGAGGCTGGTCTCCCCTGTCTTCCACCTGAGGCGTCCGAGCGATTCCCTTGTCTCCACCCCTGGACTCTATCTCAGCATCCACTTCGCAGAGGCCTGCACATCACACCTGACCCATCTCTTAGGCCGCTGGGGTGGCACACTGCGTGTGCAAGTTTCAGCATGGCATATTTCAGCGTAGCAAGACTTTTCTGGCAGCCTTCCAAGGACACAGTCTCCCAAACAGATGTTACCTCTCTACCGAATATGATCCTCATGGGGGAAATTGTCAATATATGACTAAGAGTTGGCAGGACCAGAGAACAAGCCCTGTCTCCCTATTTCTTGTTCTCTGGGGGTGACTGTGGCTTGTCATGGGGGATTCCCCCCCGAACCCACAGGAAAACAGTGGAGCAGACACAAGGGGTCACAGGTCTCCCCTTTTCCCTCTTTCATCCATTAACTCAAGAACGTTTGTTGTGCACCTACTCTGTGCCCGCAGTGCCAGCAGTGACCAACTTGGCCGTGGTACCTGCTTGGAGGGAACAGTCACTCTGGTGCTTGTTTTTTTTTTTTGAATTGGAGTCTCACTCTCGCCCAGACTGGAGTACAGTGGCCGCTCCCAGCCACTGCAGCCTCGACCTGCCGGGCTCCAGCCATCCTTCCGCCTCAGCCTTCCGAGTAGCCGGAATTACAGGCATGCGCTACCACACCCGGCTGATTTTTTGATTTATTGTGGAGATGAGGTCTCGCTGCCCAGGCAGGTCTCGAGCCCGCGGGCTCAGGCAATCCACTCACCTCAGCCTCCCAAAGGCGCGGGATGACAGGCTGAGCCACCGACCCCGGCGGTGCTTGTCTTTAAAGTCACAGCATTCACTGCTAGTTCCAGCCAATGGCCTCTTGAACACTTGAGCCCAAACCACTATAAACCACTGTTGCTATCCACCACTGGGCGAGGCTCCCATCTCCTCCAGGACCCCAAACTGACTTGCCAATGGGTGGGCTGAAAGCTAAGTCATACTGCAGAAGCCACACTCAATCTCACCAACAATGGAGTGCCGGTCATCCCTATCTATGCACCAAGTTCCCTGAGACCCAACTTAGACCTAATGCATGGAGGATTTGTTGAAAAGCCTGGGTCACCTGCTCAGTCTCCTCTCCCTTCACCCACATCCTCCCTCTTTTCTCAAGAGAAAGCATGTGCTGTCTTCCACATAGAGAGAGAATGTGTACATTCAGTGTCTGTGATTCTTGTCGTGAGAAAGAGGCCGATGGTGACGGTGATGATAATGTCGGTGGCAATGAATGATGGTGATGACGGTGGTGATGATGGCAATGATGGTGAGGGTGAGGGTGAGGGTGACGACGGCGGTGACGGCGGCAATGACAGTGATGTTAAAACGATGGCAGTGATAACAAGGATGGTGAGAATGACGGTGGTGATGAGGAGGAGGAGGAGCATGGTGATGGTGATCATGCCGGTGATCATCACAGACATGCTCAACCACTGACAGCAACTGTCATGTGTGTTGTCATCTCATTTATTGCCAGCAACAACTCTAAAAGGCAGCGATGGCCATTGCCAACTGTGAAAGCAAAGCCTATCTAGAAGAGTTTGCATAAATTCCTCAGATGACATAAGAGCTGCTGGCTCCAAAGTCCATACCAAGAGCAATTATATTACACAGTTCTGAGTTCAGACTTAGTCTCAGTGTTGACTCTGACCCGATGGTCTCCTCTACTCCTCCTTCCAGGCAGAAGCTGGCCCTTCTCTCTTCTACATTCCTGGGAGAGAACAAGCTTCTATGGTCACAGAGGCAGGAACTTACGCCCCACTGCCTCCTCTAAGGCAGGTCCCTCAGGCAGTGCTCTGGTCCACCCCAGGACCCTCTCAGCCATTTTTGGCAGGTCACATCCCAACCCCTTGGTAAGCTGGGCCTACTGTTTCTTGGACTAAACCTGCCACCTTCAAGGTCAAGGCTGGAGAACTCATTACTGCAGAGGTAGGTGATAGAAAAGAGCAAAGAGGGTGGAGCCAGAGGGCAGCAGCAGGGAAAGCTTCAGCCTGAGAGGGCAAGCTCGGTGGTGGCAGCAAGAGGACACTTATAAGGGCAGAGTACTCTGCCACTTGTTCCCAGATACTTTTGGGGCTGAGGGGTTTCCTATGTTTGCCCTGTCCTAAGGGCTCTTTTTCTGCCTTCTGTGTGAAGTTTCTTCACTGCACTTCCCAACTTAAAATCTGAAGAATGCAGTGTGTGCCCAATAACCAGCAAAGAGTACCTGGGCAGACATAACAATACAACAGCTTTCTCAAATAATCTCTTTATGCTGGGCACACTAAGTCTTCATACCTGCAATCGATCTAACCCATCCCGACCCTGCATTTTTTGCACGTGCCTGACTGGCCAGAAGCCTAATGCGAAAGAAATAAAATGACTTTCCCCAGGTCACCCAGCAGACCCAGGTCTGGAGTCCCCGAGAAAATCAAACATCTAAATCCAAATCCAGCACATCTGTAGCCACATCCTGGCAGGAAAGTACTTAGAGAGAAACATTTCACCACCCCTCACACACTTTTCTTGCAAAGCAAACAGACTTGTGCTTCAAAGCCTGGCCCATGGGGTTTGATGGGCCACTGGGCTCCTGCATAGGAAACCACAGCTATGAGAAGAACCGACAGATCCCACGGTCATGGTGGTTGAACCAGAACTGAACCTTTAGACATGTGGTTCAAATAACATTCATAGGAAGCAGGTTGAAAATGGAACATGCTTAAGGATGCCTTGTCACTTCTTCTCATTGGAAGGTTGCTTGCCTGGAAGAGGGTAGAGCAATATGTGAGAAGTTGTGCGGTGTCTAAAGTGTGCATCTTATAAAGCTGTCCTCCCCAAATGCCAGGAGTCATTTCCTCACCTGTGTAAGTCCCTTAAGTCTTCACGTTGATCCCAGGCAGGTAAACCTTTTCTTAAAGGGCCAGATAGTAAATATTGTTGGTTTTGCAGGCAGTATGGATCTGCGCCTACTACTCAACTCTGTTTTGTGGCACAAAAGCAGCCACAGACGATATGCAAACAAATGGGCATGACTGGGTGCCAATAAAACTTTACTTATAAAAACACACAGCAGCCATGTTTGGTCCATGCACCACCGTTTGCAGGGTCCCAAGCTGGATAAATAGCCCAAGGTGGCTCAGCTTGTAAGTTAAATAAAAGTGTATTCCCATGTTGTATGATTGGTTACAGCTGGGAAACAAACTGTGCTCTTTCAGTCCGGAAGCCTAGGACATCTCCATTCCATACTCAAAGGCTTATTGTCCACTGGAATCTTCACTGGCCATTGTCAAGGTGATTTCAAAGAGACCCACAGTCTCTAGTTTAAGGTAGGGCCATAGTTTTCGGGAGCAGTAGCCTGGCCCTGCTGTCTTTGTCCATGTGAAGCCCCTCCAGGAGCAATCACTTTGTGTGAGGGATCCCCTTGAGAAGTCAATAAACAGGATCTGTGATGTTTGGAAATTAAAACTCAGGAAGAAATTTATCAATTTAATCCCTCTGATGGTTCTCAGAAATGTTTCAGCCACGTGTCTATCTCAGTTTTCTCCACACTGAAAAGAAACTGCATCTTGCAAAAGACAAGCCTGTTGAGATAATGGGTCACTGTGTGAGCAGGAACTGTATCCTATCGGTCTCAGGAAAGGACTTTCCCTGCACCATGAAAATGGCACTGTTCCCGGGAGGATATCTCCCTAACCCCCCTTCCTCACTGGTGTCTTTCACACTCACACCTTAATAATATCCCTCTGGGCAAGTCTCTGGTGGCTATTAAATAACAGGCAGCAACATCTGTGCCACAAG